GAAAATGTAAAAAATCCACTATTTCAGTAAAAATACTATTTCAGTCTTTCTACTTCAAAATGTCATGTTTAATTTATTGTTCTACTTGTAATTATTTGTGACATTTACTACCAACTTCTGAGTAGAAACAAAAAGCGTTAAAGTAAATCCTAGACCAGATATTTTTTTTTCAAAGTAGTTGTTGCTATAATTTGGTTACATTTGTTGTTGGTCTCTCTCTCTTTCTCTCTCTCTCTCTCTCTCTCTCAGATCTGTGTGTTCCGGCTGCAGACTCATCAGTGGTGCTTCCTGTTGTGTAACGTCATCTTGTTTCATGCGTTGCTGTTTGGTGGTGACATAGTGGAAGAGTTTCTCCTGCAGTCGTCTCCCGCCGCCTACACCGACCGCTTTGTCCTGGGGGTCCGGGAGCGTGCACGCAAACTGGACCTGACTGAGACCAGGCTCAACACTTCACAGCTCTACCCCATTAACACTGAACCCTGCCTTCATCATCAGGACCTCCTCATCCTCACGCTGGTCCTGAGTTCCCCTGGAAACTGGAGCCAGAGGGAGGCGATGCGAAACTCCTGGGCCAATCAGACGTCGGTGCGCCGCGTTGCCGTGCGGACTTTGTTTTTCCTTGGCCCCTCCCCTTTAGGGGTGGAGCTTGAGATGATGAGGGAGGAGTCTGCACGCTATGGTGACATCGTGCAGTTCGAGGGAGGTGTTTCCAGGGGCGACTGGCAGAGAGGACACTGGGAACAAGTTAAAATGGCGCTTCGATGGATCCTACTTTTTTGTCCACAAGCCCGATTTATCGTTCTTTCTGAGGATTCTGTGTATTTAAACCTTCCTGCGTTTACATCATACCTGCTAGGACTGAGAACGCACCCTGATGAACTTTACCTAGGCAGGGTCATCCATCGAGCCGCACCTGAGCGGGACCCCGACAAACCGCATTATCTGCCCTATCAAGTGTACCCTGATAAGTACCTCCCAGACTACTGCTCTGGCCCCGCCTTTCTTCTATCTCAAGACGTTGTAAGGAAAGTTTATGTCGCTGCTGAGGATGTTTCGTTGCCCCTCCCCTCCGACGTTCTGGTTGGCCTGTGTGCAAGACGGGCAGGTGTGGTGGCCACTCACAGTGCTCGGTTTTCTGGCGACCGACACATTCGTTATAACCCTTGCTGCTACAACTTCCTATTCAGCTCTGCCAGAATGGGGGTGGGGATGATGGGCGTGGCCTGGCGGGATTTAGGGGCGGGGAAGGGGAGGAGCTGTGGCATGCTGGAGACATATTACAGTTTGGTAGTGTGCAAAACAATGACCTACCTGGATAAACTTTCTTTTCTGAATAACGACAAATCACAGGGCTAGAACAGTTGGGGATAGTTATGTGTATAAATTAAAATTCATCTGTTCTATGATTTAGTGCATAAAGTGTTTCTGTTACTCTAAAAGGTCTCAAAGGCCTTTAAGGGGTAAGTTGGGGTAAGAAAATATATATATATATATATATTTTTTTTTAGCAATGATACAATAAATTTATCAAAAGTAACAGCACAGACATTTATAATGTTACTAATGAATTCTATTTCAAATTAATGCTGTTCTTTTGAAATTTACTACAAGCTTTGAAATTAAACAAAATGAAACCAAAAACATTTTAGCGATGCCACCTTTAAATTCATCATTAGTAGTAGTAATAAATAAGGTACAAAAATTCCACCAAAAGAGAATTCTAACATTTTACACAGACTTTTTTTACTCGACCAGTTACATACTAGCAGTCACACCAGCAGGAGGCGCTATTGCTTTAATATGAATGATAAATAGTCTATATTCTGCTAGAAAATCCGCTAGTGAAAAAACACCCACAGCACGTGGCACCCCTGTCACTGGCACTTTTAGGACAACATTATTATTATTAATGTCTTTTTTTGTTTGTTTTGTTTGTTTTTCAAATGCAAGCAGCAGCAAAAAAATCAATCTTCTAATATCATTAGTAGAACATCTGCACTAGTCTTTATTTTCTCTATGTAGCTGTATATTTCTATTTAGTCATGTATATATTCAAACCTGAGAAAAACATGCATTTTAAATCTGTTGTGCTTTATCATACTCTGTTAGTCCTGACCCTGCCATGAGACAGGGAGAAAGACAGAGAAAGAGAGAGACTGGCAAAATAAACTCGGACGAAAGAGGATTCACATGCCCTGGAGACAGTCTGAAAGCACTGACTGACAATAACAGAGATGAAGATTGAGAATAAAACAGAAATAGGCACAAGGAATGAGAGATTGCAAAAAAATGGGCTAGTTCCAAAATCTAGTGAGCCTCCTATTTAGACTAGACAGCACCATATGCACACTTCCTATGCAGTGACTAAGATTACATGTACGTTTAATAGAGAAGTTAATCCCAGAATGCACTGCGACAAGCTCCGCCACAAAAGCTGGTGGAGAATGCGGGCAAAACAACTATAATCCATTCAGTACCCAAATATATTGATAAAAACAGTTCCATGCAATTAAAAATTGACTATTTAACCAATATGTGTGCATGCTACATATTTTCAAGCGTAGCGCTTTGCTAGCTTAGCAATATGCTAATATGAAACACTACACTGCAAAAAAAATAAGATTTTTAAGTTGTAAATAATGCAGATTGATGCTTTACATCACATTTAAGTATGCTTTACAACAAAATAATATTTCAGTTTTTCTTAAATATTTCATGTTTAATTCAATATGCGACGACTTGTTTCTTTCCCTAGCATTTTCTGAGTGAAAATCATTTCTTCACCCGTTCTTTTTTCCAGTGTATCTTAAATTCTGAGTCAGATCTCTTGTGCACTTGGTGTTAAATTGGTCACTTAAAAGGTTTCTTTTCAGTTAGTATGCTGCCTTAGAGTTGTAGGGCAGCACACTAGATTTCGAACACACTCTTATAAAGTGAGAGAATGTAAACATTAACAATTTAAGACTGTTAAAGGCAGAAAAAAAGCATGAGGATGTAAACATTAACAAGAATAAAAGTCTTAAACACAGAGAGACAGACTATAGACAGACATGAGACAAGAAAGGGAAAGATCATGTAAACATTAACAATGTAAGAAAGACTTACAGAGAGAAGAGAGAGAAAGATTGTGTTGCAAAGGTCGCCAGAGTGGTAAAAACGATGCCAGTGAGAGGGTGGCCTTGGAAAACTAAGAGTGCAAACAGGACAGCGAATCAAAACCCATAATACTCCCACTCCGCTGCCATGTCTGACCAATCAGCAAGCGGAATGTCAGTAAGGTCACAGCACCAAAGGGAGAAACACACACGAACACAACCAACCGCATGCGAAGCATTCCCGCAAACCAACTCAAACATGAGGTAAGAGTTTTAATCATTTTGTGTTATTTCTAAATAAATAAAATATGATTCCATTGCAAAAAATGAAACTATACAAAATGAAATACGTACCCACAATATCTACAGTTAGTAATAAATTATGATTGTTAAATACTTAAGGCATTTCAACGGACATAACCCTGTGTAAACGACCAACACGAGCCATCATCCGCCAATCAGCACACAGAACACTGGGGGGAGGAGCCAATGCACAGAAAAAAATGCAGCTCATTAGCTGAAACTAATATAGCTTTTTTTTTTAGAAAATGAAATGGTTTTTAAAATGGACTTTTAGGTCAAATTAAGCAAAACTAAACCAAAATTAAAATGTTTGCTTTATAGAGAAGGCAATTCCAGAATGCATTTTGACAAGCTCATTCACAAAAGTTGGTGGAGAATGCGGGCAATCATAAATGTGTTTTTTCCTTCGTAATTATGAGTTTATATATCACAATTCTGACTTTTTTCTCTGAATTTACATCCGTTTACATACCTGCAATAGCGAGTTTATATCTCGCAATTCTAAATTTATATCTTGCAAATATGAATTTTTTTTCTCAGAGTTGTGTGAAAAAAATGTCTGAATTATGAGATAAAAAGTTGCAATTACTTTTTTTTTTTTTCATCCTGTAGTGGAAACTTCCATAGTTAACTACTTAGGTAGATTGCAAGATTTTGAACACACTCTGAAACAGACAGTGAGAGAAATTGCCAAATTTACATTTCAAGCAAAATTAAACCAGACATTTCGGGGAGAAAACTATCCATATAAAAAGAATATCCTTGTTGCAAGTTGTTAAAATTGAACTTAAAAACAGCTAAAGGCCAGAAACATACGCATTGCATAATGTGCATTTCTGCAAACTACAGTGCTCAAGGGGGCGACAGTGTTCAAACGTCTGCACCGTTAAACCAGATGTGCTATTGTTTGTGTAGCTAGCTGTAAACATGTTTGAGCTGAAACAGAAAACTACCTGCGTATGTTTCGGGCCAAATACAAATAATTCCTGCGTTGTGTTAATCCGTCTCGACCCACTTGTGTGCTGTTGGCGGATGGTCCTCTATCACACGACATTCTACATTATAGTTCTAGCAATACAGCATAGCAACCAGCATAGCAACCACGAGGGGAGACCTGTCACACAAGAACACGGTTGGACACGCACAAGCCCCGCCCCCCTCCAAACACTGCATGTTTTAAATACCAATAATAAATACAGTAACCATGGCAGCGCAGCACCAGAGTGAGGCCGGGCACTTCAGCTATGCTCACATGTGCTTTTTTCAGTAGGCATTTAGGGTCAAAGGTCATGGCAGGGTCTCTCTCTCGCGCACACACTTACACACACACACACACACACTCGCTACATGAGTCTGATAATGTTACGGATCTTCACAGCTTAAAGGAGCTAATACACATCCATGCATTCGCGCGCGCGCACGCACACTTCCAGGTGTACCTTGAAACAACAACCCAAGCACAGATGCATGCAACTACTATTGCGCCTATCTACACAAATCCACCAATCACAATATTCTCTGCCTACTTTTTTTTGTAAGACAACAGCCCTCCTCCTGCTGTCTCGGAAATTAGTTGCTTTTGTGTTTTCTTATTTTTTGTTGTTGTTGCGTGTTCTTTTTTGGCTTCTCTACATGCACCGCTAACCCATGAAAATATTAGCACACATACGATACACACGCACCAAAATGGTGAACAAGCGCACAAACGCAAGCCGAAGTAGCTCCAGTGTGTAAGACTAAAGCAGTATTGCAGATCAGAAATATGTGATACAGTGGACACACACACACACTCCAGCAGCTAGATTTGACAGTGTCTTATCTGCCATTGTGTATATATTATAAGTAGTGTGTAAGTGTGTGTGTGTGTGTGTGTATATTGTATGCAAGCTGAGGGTCTTTAGTAAAGTTCATGGCTTAAGGAATTGCACAAATACACACACATATGCTACGGACACACACCATTTCCCTACAGACAGAATCACTCCTCGCGACAGACCCTTTAGTTTCTACCAGCAAGTGTGTGTGTGTGTGAGTGTGTAGTGTCAGTTATTGTCATTGGCTCAGTAAAGCGTGTGAGTGTGTGTTTAGTGTGTGTTGGATGGCTCATCATACACATGTATAGGTAATATACAGTGTGTGTGTGTGTGTGGATGGAAATGTCTGTGGATGTATAAGAGCGAAAGAGAGCATGTGTGTGTTTAAGTTATTTGTTAATGCGTGTTATTTCAGCTCTCGGGGGTGAGCTGTGTTTGGATGTCCACTCTGCAGATGGGACACTTCCTACTGGTGGCCAACCACTGATCCACACACACCTGATGGAACAAATGCATACAGGGTAACCGCCTGAAAACAGAAGAGACAGATAAATGGTTTATTAGGACGAGTGGAGCTACATTAGCATACAGCATTTTGTATTTTGACACGCTCTGTTATTGTTGTGTTTAGTTGTGGGCATCCTGTATTATGTACTTTGCAGTGTTGTTACTGTTAAATAAAACTAAAGCTATTAAAAATAGATTTTGATATTAAAATAAAATGAAAAAAGAATATCCCTTTGTAAGTTGTTAAAATTAACGTTTAAAACTACTTTAAATAAAACTTAATTGAACTGAATTAAATAAAATATTAAATTGAAGTTCTAAAGTTACTAAAACTGAAATAAAAAAAAGCTAAAAAGAAATATATACATATACACACACATACACATATATACAGTATATATATAAACATGCATATACACATATATATACACATATATATACACATACAGTACATTATATACACATATATATATATACATATATATATATATATATATAACTACTAAACAAATTACTAAACCTAAAATGAAACATTTAAAATATAAAAATAAAACCCAATTCAAAATATTAATAAATACTATTAATAAAACAATACAATTGTATTTAAATATTGAAGTAACACTGGTACTTTGTAGCATTTATAGTGTAATTTGGGGATGCAAACTTTTGTCAGTCTAAATACCTCCTGTGGTTTTAAGTTAATATCTTGATAATTCAACAACACATTTGCATGCAATTAATTATTAGCTTTTCATCAACTGAACCTCCTGAAAAAACCCTGGTGTAATACTTTTGTTCAAAAGTTTGGGGTCAGTAAGATAAAAAAAAAAAAAATTAATACTTCTCTTCAGGAAGGATCCATTAAATTGATCAAATGTGACAGAAAAGACATTTATAACGCTACAAAAGATTTCTATTTCAAATAAATGCTGTTCTTTTGATCATGGTTTCCACAAAAATATGAAGCAGCACAGCTGTTTTCAACATTGATAATAATCAGAAATGTTTCTTGAGCAGCAAATCATCATATTAGAATGATTTCTGAAGATCATGTGACACTGAAGACTGGAGTAATGATGCTGAAAATTCATTCAATTCTTTGCATCACAGGAATAAATTACATTTTAACAAATTCAAATAGAAAACAGTAATTTTAAATTGTAATAATATTTCACAATATTACTTTAATATTACAGTATTTTTGATCAAATAAATGCAGCTTTGGTGTGCAGAAGAGACTTCTTTCAAATACATTAAAACACCTTACTGCCCCTGGACTTGTGAATGTAAGTGTATAGTGTCATCTGTATTATACACTACCTGACATCTTCTCCATCCTCCAGCAGGGAGAGGCAGATGGTGCATTTCTCATCCACATCCAACTCTTCCTCACTCACACATAACTTCAGATCCAGCGGCTTCCGCTACACACACAAACAAACAAACAAACACCAGTGTGTTAGCAGCAGAAAACTGTAGGCTGGACTTGAAGATAAAAGTGTGAATGTGAACAGTGTGTGTATGTACCTTCTTGTATTTGTGCGGGAAGGTGAATCTCTCTATGGTGGTCTGTATGGCCCCTCGGTTGACGCTTCCCAATCGATCCTCCAACTGCAGCAACTCCTGCACAAAATCAGTGTTAAATAGAGCAAAGCATGAACATATGTGAGTTACTGTTCATCTGTCTGTGTGCTTTACCTCATAACTCTCCCGAACAGCAGACGAGTGTCTGCTGGGACCAAAGCTCTGCAGCGCCAACAGGTGGAGCTGTGGATACGGATAATTCCTTATCTCATGGACAACCTGCAGAAAATACAGCATACATGATTAAAACACTCGAGGACCACATTCAACACTTGTGCTTACTATAAAAAAAAAAAAACATTTAAATAAAAAAGGAAAATGTATTAATAAAACTTAATGTTTTATATACACTAATATACTACATATAATGTGTGTGTGTGTGTGTATATACACACACACACGCAAACAATATATGTATATACAAGTAAAACATTATTTAGAAGTATACACACACACATATATATATATATATATACACATATATATATAAGAGAGAGAGTTCACACAATCCATCAGAGATTAGCGACATTGTGTGAAAAAGACAAAGGCTAGGTCCGGAATGCTGTGCTCAATATGCAAAATAAACATTTATTTAAGATAATAACCGGATGCCAATCCTAGTATGCGGCTTTTTAAAATGTGAAGGTTTCACGTATTTAGCCTGATTCAGGAAAAACGTAAAAGTTGTGTAAAATCATTTATAAATCTATTCATAAGTAAATTAAATGTTTTTTTTGCATATATTTTTTAAACCGTATGCAGTATTCAGCATAAAATTCAGTATTCAGTACATTAGTATTCCATTCTAAACATGAGAAACACACACATGAACAGTTTGCTAAATATCACCATGGCAACAATAGATTCTGCTAAAATACCACATTTACTGCAGTTATTGTTATTACAGAAAAACTTGTCACTGTTAGTCATCAATAAAACATGAAAATAATAATAATATAATAATAATAATAAATTAATAAAATAATAATATAAATAAAAATAACTAAAAAAAAATAGTTAGTGTTACTACAGAAAAACGGTTATAATTTAATGTTAGTCATCAGTAAAACATGAAAAAAAATAAAAAAATACAAAATAATAAACAACAATAAATTCAAATTAAAAAAAGAATGAAAAATGTAAATATAAAAAACAGTGTTATTATTAATACAGAAAAACTGAGACAAAATAAATAAAATAAAAATAAATTAAAATAAACAAAACAGTAAACCAATAAAAATTCTAAAAGCTAATTTTAAAATTCTAAATGTAACATTTTTATTCAACATGTACATTTTTTACAGTAGAAATAATATCTGGTGTAACAATGGCAATTTGGTATAACTGTGGTTACCATGGTAAATGTTTGTACGGGTTAGTGATGTGGTGTATTATCTTATCAGCGGGACATGAAGCAGAACCAGAGGTCGTTCTGATGGATGTCCTGCATTAGAAAATATTACCTGTGTTTTTATTTAACTGAAGCCAGGTGACGATTCTTACACCGTGACACCGGCTGGATCTAACGGCCTGCATTACGGCTGCTAGGACTCGTTCTTTATCTGGATTACCACGGATCTAACGGATTCCATTCCCTCAGGATTAGCCGTGTTTTCTTTGAGGGGAAATATACTGGACATAACTAGCTGGTTTAAGAGGTTTTAGCTCATAATTATGAGCTAAAAAGTCGAAGTTATGACATACCAAGTCAAAATTATGACATAGTAAGTCATAATTATGAGATAAGTCAAAGTGATGACATACTAAATAGAAATTATGACTTTAGAAGTAGAAAACGACTTTTAAAGTCAAAATTATGACATAGTAAATTTTTATGAGATAAAAAGTAGAAATTATGACAAGTTATGACATACTAAGTTGAAATCGTAAGATAAAATCTAAATTATGCCATAAAAAGTATTTATGTAATTATTAGTAATTATTAGATGAAAAGTCCAAATTATGACATACTAAGTCATAATTATGAGATAAAAAAATCAACCATTTTGCCTTTATCTCATAATTTCAAGTTAGTATGTCATAATTTTGACTGTCATAATTGACTTAGCATATCATCATTTTGACTTAGTATGCCACAATTTAAACTTTTTATCTCATAATTATTCATAAATAGTATAATTTGGACTTTTATCTCATAAAAACTTACTATGTCAATTATGACTTAGTATGTGATAATTTCAACTTTTTTAACTTCATATTTATGACTTAGTATGTCATGTGTCTTTTTCCCCTCACAATTATGACTTGTGTCATAATTACGACATAGAATGTCATAATTATAAGTTTTAAAGTCATAATTTTGACTTTTCATCTCATAATTTTGACTTTTAAAAGTCAAAATTATGATTTGCCAAAGCATTTTTTTCCCCTACATGGACTTCCATACAAAAACAGTCTGTTAATTTATTACCATAATTATTTAATAAACCGATTAAATAATTTAACAATGTGTAGTGCAATTGGTTTTACGCTTTTACCTGCATTCACATTAAATTATTCACAGAAAAGAACTTGGATCTGCTTTGCAAAATGAGGTGGACTGGCCCTAATGACAGGTGTTAATGAGAGTGGACTCAGAGTGTGGATTCAGTGACGGACATAACAGACAGATGGAGGGGTGGGGGGTTTCATGGTCACACAGAGGGGGAAGGGAATGATGGGATTGAGGAGGGG